TCTCATGAATATGTTGATTTTCTATACTTTAATATGAAATTTATACTTTTCTTATGAAAATCATGAATAATTATTAAAGAAATATGGTTATGGTACCTAGGGAACTACCCTAGGATCTATGTTTTTAACATAAAAAATCCATCGCCTAATGGTGCAAGTGGGTGAAAGGTTGTATTAGGACTTGCCACTATTCCATTTTAGTTAATGGGACTATGGGAGGGTGGTGGATCATTTTCAGCTACCAAGGGTATCAGGCAAGGAGACCCCCTTTCTCCTTTCCTGTTCACTCTAATTGCTGAAGTCCTAGGAAAACTCATTGAGAGAGCAGACTCTAGAAATTTGGTGAAAGGATGGGGGGTAGGAAGGAATAGGGTCCTAGTAACACATCTACAGTTTGTCGATGACAATTCTTTTCAGTGGTGGGGAGGAGGTGAGTTGGGTGAGTAACCTAAAGCAAGTGATCAATGTTTTTGAAAAGGTGACTAATCTTAAAGTTAATTTGGACAAGAGCTATGTGATTGGCATTAATTTGAGTGAAAGTGAGGTGGAGGATAGAGCCCAAACTTTGGGATGTGAGATTGCACAATGACCATTGATCTATTTGGGGCTGCCACTAGGGGATAACCCAAGTAAAAAGAGTTTCTGGAACCCGATGATTGAGAGATTCACTAAAACGTTAGCATCTTGGAAGAAAAATTACCTATCCATGGGAGGCAGAATAACTCTGATTAAATCTACATTGGAAAATCTGCGAGTGTACTTTTTGTCGGTGTTCAAAATGCCTGGAGGAATCTGTGGGATTTTGGAGAAGATAATGAGAGACATCTTATGGGAGCCAGAAGAGGAGAAAAAAGATCATAGGGTCAGGTGGGATATAGTTACCAAAACCAAAAATGATGGTGGGCTTGCTTTAGGTAATTTGCAAAAAAAAAAAATGAAGCTCTGTTGGGGAAATGACTTTGGAGATTGACTTTGGAAAGGGATAAATTATGGGCTCAAGTTATCTTAAGTATTCATGGGCAAGCGGCAGATGGCTAGGACTTTGGAGTTTTAGCTAGGGCTACGAGAGCTTCTCCTTGGAAATCAATTCATGCCATCCTTGCTTCTTTCCTTCCTCTAATCAGGTATGATTTGTGCTTTGGTAACCTTGTGAAATTTTGGGATCATGTTTGGGTGGGTGACACTCTGTTGAAGGAGCTCTTCCCTTCCTTGTATTCTCTATCACGTTTTAAAAATGAGCCAATCTCCACTTTTTTTACCTCTTCTAGTTCATCCATTGATTGGAATTTGGGTTTTAGAAGGGCCCTTACAGACCCAGAATTGAACCTCATTGCTAACATGCTAAAAGTCCTTGAGGGGGTGACTATTGATCTATTTAGGAGGGATAATAGGATCTGGACTCCTTCTCCTTCGGGTGTCTTCTCATGCTCCTCATTCTTCAAAGTTTTGGCTCATTCCCCACCTGTCTTTGGAATCCCTTTTCCAATTTTGGAAGTCTAGACCAATTCCTCCCAGAGTTGGTGCATTTTGTTGGGAAGTTTTCCTTGATAAGTGTAACACTTGCGACTTACTTCAAAGAAAAAGGCCTAATTGGTGTTTATCCCCACACTGGTGCATCCTTTGTAAGAAGAATGGTGAGAATTGTTATCACTTATTGGTTTCTTGCCCATTTGTTTCAGAAATCTGGTGTTGGTTTTTCTATCTTTTTGGATGCAGGTGGACCCCCCCCCCTCAAATGTACAAAGCCTATTCCATTCTACTACTGTTAGGGGGCTGAAGAAAAGAGGGAAAATTCTATGGAGATGTGTAAGAGCAACTGTATGTTGGACTGTTTGGGAGGAAAGGAACCAACGGACCTTTCATGGGAAAGAAAGAAATAAAGCTATAATTATTGAATTAATTTCCATAAGGGTGATTAAGTGGGCTAAGACCTTGCAACTTTTTGAAAACTACTCAGAAGGAGATATCATCAGGAAGTGGAAAGAAGTGGCTTGGTCAGTTCCAAGGAAGAATGTATTTCACCCAGTTTGGTCCCCTCCAGCTTCAGGGTTCACTAAATTAAACTTTGATGGAAGCAGCGAAGGAAATCCAGGTCTGTTGGGTATAGGGGGAGCTTTCAGGGATGATGAAGGTCAAATTATCGCATTGTATTCGGGTCCTATTGGTTGGGGGGACTCTCTTAGAGCTGAAATATTGGCTGCTATGGAAGGGTTAAAAAGAGATCAAGAGTTAAATATTAGAAACCTGATAGTGGAAGGTGATTCTAAATTGACTATCAACTGGTTAATGAAAGATGATTCTAGTTTGTGGAAGTTTCTGAATGAAAAGAAGAAAAYTAGATATCTCATACAAAATATGGAAGTCAAGTTTCAGTGGACTAAGAGGTGCGCCAATTCCTTGGCAGATTCATTGGCTAAACAAGGGGTGGGAAGAGATAATATGTTCTGGGCAACTTTGTAATCTGAACTATTCTCTTGGGAGGGTTAAGAGTTTTTACCCCTCCCTTTGTATTTTTCTATATTAATATCTCTTGCTAAAAGTCTTTGTTATTTATCAAAAAAAAAAAAAAATCCATCGCCTAGGCGACAAGGCGCCCCCTAGTTGCCTAGCCTCACCTTGGCGCCTTGAAAACTATGCCTAGGACCTGGGCGAGGCGCATACCCTAAAATGTGCCTAGGCACGCCTCAAACGCACCTTTTAAATCACTGAATCCACCATTTTGTCCATCCTGATCTAATTCTATAGGTGACATCCTCAATCTCTCCCGTGTTATGACTTATAAATTATGAACCAAAGTTTGTTAAGGATTTGGGGATATGTTGGATCATGCCAAAGTTTGTTAAGGATTTGCTCTGTAGCTGGAAGATCAATAATATGAAGAAAAGAGGGAAGCTGGTCTGGACTTCCATCCCGATAGTAGTGCTCTGGGCTATTTGGTCTGAGAGAAACAACAAAATTTTTAATCAAAGAATGATAGGGCCAGAGGAAATATGTCAGATAGCTGTTTGTAAATTGATATCCTGGATTTTAGTACCCCAGAATTCAAACATGTAAATGTAGCTCAGTTACTGAGAAATCAGTCAATTTGGTGCGCTTGTAATGGGGGGTTCTCAGGCTTGCTTTGTTGTTGGCAGGTTCCTGCTTTGTACTCTTAAAGTTTTTAAACTAATAAATTTACCTTACCTTTTCAAAAAAAAAAACAACAAAAAAAAGTTATCTCTTCATCTCCCTAAGTTTACTCCTACTTATTTTAAAACATCTTGTTTCCAAGATATTCATCTATAAATTTTAAAATGTGTTAATTTCTATTTATGGTTCTTAAACCATTTGCAAGGCATATGATTATCATCAACCAAAAAAATCCATTAAGCAGTGATCACAATTGAAGATAATAAGCCCAAAGTTGTTCCAATGATTTAAAAGGCGCGCTTGAGAATAGGCGAGGCACATTTTAGGGTAGGTGCCTCACCACCTAAGTCCTAGGTGCAGCACTTTCAAAAGGTGCACGCCTAGTGAGCCTAGGTGTGCACCTGATGTGCCTTGCGCCTTGGCCCAGGCATGCGCCTTTTGAAAATTGTTCGTTTTTGAAAATTATGAGAACTCCATATTTGTTAATGTTGTTCGTTCATTAATCTTAATAAAATATCTTCTTAAAAGGCAATTAAAATTATAAAATCGTTATTTTTGTATGAGAATTAAGAATTTAAGACCCTAACATGGACTTGTTTGGGCTTTCCTCGAGGGGTGTGGCACAAAGGTGACTCGTAGAATTAGAAATGTAATATGTTTTACATCACATTAGCTACTTGAAGTAATGCAATTGAGGAAAAAAAGAGATCATGGGTGTTCCATGCTTTAAAATGTTTTATATGTTTGATTTTATTTTTAATTTTTCATTTGAATATGCTTTACATGTTATGTTTATGTATTTTAATTTTAGATAATAGGTTTTTTAAAACATTAATTTTAAAATTTAAGTTTATATTTCTTATTAATATTATGTTTGATATTTTTTTGAATTTTTTGGCATTATTTTTGAATTTTCTAACATCTTTTTTATTTGTTAGTAATTTTTTGTATTTTTGTGCCTAGTCTAAAAAGGTGCACGCCTTGCCTTGCGCCTTGCACCTCGGGCACAAATTGGCCCTTGCGCCTTGCGCTTTTAAAACACTGAGTTATTCTAGGAGAAGTTCAAATAAAGTTTCACCTATAGAAAATTAATCACGAGGCAATGACAAGATACATCAAGCTTCAATTTTGGGGAAAAGAAAAAAGGAAATAAAGAAGACAATCATAGAAAAGAGAATTGAAAGAACCCCAACGCTTTGTCCCCTCCACTTGTATCATTAGTTATTACTATAACAACATTGACAACAACAATAATATAAATTAGATTTGTTGGTGACAACCCAGATTGTTGAGATACAAAAATAGAGAACCATAATAGTTCTTTTAATGGATATAGAGGACCATAATAGTTGATTACAACAAGGGTAAATTACAAATAGAAACCCTGTACTTAGGGGTGGTAACATGGCCCCCTGAACTTCTAGATTCCAACACTTTGCCTGTTTGCCCCCTGCCCACTAACGGGGTTGATGATGAAAGTAAAATTACTAAATTGCCCATTTTGGGATTCTATATGAAAATAACCATTTCAAAGCACAAATTGTCCTAAAGGCATTTTCAAGATGAATTCTGTTGAAAGAGAGTTGAGAGAAACACATCATAGCTGGGATTTTATAAAAACTAAGTTAAAAGGGCAAAATGGTCTCATAAAATAAAATAAGGGTAGTTTGAGGTTTTAGAAATGTTTAAAGAAACATTCTATGAAGTTACTAACGGACTGCTAACAATGGGAGCAACATGCTGTAATCCATAAGTTCATGGGGATCTTTGTCACAAAATAAAGTAGAGGGGGCTGAGTGTCAATACCCCCCCAAGTATAGGGTGACTGTGTAATTTACACTTAAAACAAATTATAAAATTGACGGTATAAAACTGAAAACAATATCAATTGACTGCATAATGCGTTAAATTCTTTTTACGGTGCTTCAAGAAGTGAATAACATAGATATTTCCATCCTTACCTATAATGAAACAACAGAATCAATTATGAACTAAAACAAGTTGAAAACCAGAAGTTACATTACGTCCAACAATGAAATAAAATGCCACCTGAGGAGACAAACTATGCTCACTCCACTGGCATTAAATGAAAAATTGGTGTTTCTACCAGAAGAACAAGTATTAGTCAGGACTAGGGACCAACTAATAATGTTTTAACTTTTCACTCCACAAAGGAATGTTAAATTAATAGTTATAGACAACCGAAATATGCATTAGAAATGTATGGTCATAGAACAACATAATTGGATCAGCTGCTAACCAAATGAGCCTTCCTGAAAAAAGAAAAAAAAAAAGAAAATCTTACTATGCCCCAACCTTCACAAAACATAAACCTCCACACACACACACATTAAGAAGCACCTAAAAAAATGCAAATTGTTTTCGTTTAAGTATATGATAGTCCAGAAAATAGCATCAAAAGTATATGGAGTACTAAAGGAAATTTACCTTCAAAAAGCGACCCCTTTTATTCTCGCCTATGTCAAAGTAAAACACCTATACGAATAACCACTAGACACAGTCACAGATCTACATCCAATTACACAGTTCTTCAAATTGATAAGAAGCAATGCGGAGAAGATAAAATAGAACTAAAGAGCCGGCAAAGAAGGTACACCTTGGTGTCGAGCTGCAATTCCTTGCTAAAAACATCCTGTTCGTCGGAATTAACATAGTAATTAAAGAGATCTAAGAACCAGGAAATGCCGCTAACAGGAACAATGATGGTTGATCTCGTCGCGGAAGTTTTCTCAGATATCTTCAAGTAACGACCTCGAGGGTTCTCCTTGAGGTCGAAATAGAAGAGTTTGTGCTCCACCTGGAGAGTTTTGCATAGAAGTTCGACGTCGTTCCCGCCAGAATTCCCCTCCATTATTTCTGACGCAGAAAAGAGAAAAGCAAGACCCAATCCCTTGCACAAACAACTAAAGTTCTATGCTTATGTGAACCTATTTAACTTCGCTAACAGAATTCCTTGTCGGATACATACGAAGGAAGAAAAACTTTAATTTCAAGGGATGAAGTAGGATGAAAATGGAAACCCGAAATAAGGTTTCTTTTTTATAATTTTTGAGAGAGGCGGACTAAGGTGCCGCGAGATCTAGAGATTTTCGGGCCTGTACTCGTCTTCTTTCTTCTTCTTCTGGGTCCCTGTCTGATTCTTCTTCTTGTTGTTGTCGTTCTGCAAATTAGGGTTAGGGTTTGGAGCCATGGTGTTTGACCAAGTTCCATCGTCATGCTCCTTTTAAGAACAACCCCCACACCCCTTTCCCCTCCCCTAACAAATCGCGATTTTACGCTCACCATGGGTCCATGGGCGCGCATTGTTCTACCTTCACGGCTTCACCCCAGTAAAAATCCATCCATCCAGCCTCCAGCGCGTGCTAACCTCTGCTCTGCCGCTACCGCTACCGCTACACACACAGACAGACTCACCCGTTTGGGGAAAATACTATATGGGGTATGCATCTCTGGGGTAAAAAAGATTAATTGCCTTCACCAATTTGACCAAAATAACAATCAGAGACTGAATGGGTTAACGTATACGTGCGTGTCATACTCATGCATGCCCAACAACGTTCCCAACTCTCCATTTGCAAGGGTTTTTATTGTTTAATGCAGTGGCGAAGCTTATTTTGATGAAAAGCCCAAAGCACTTGCGTTAGCGTCATCCTTAGGTGCCTATTTGGGAGGGCTATCGCACCGCGGCTTCTCGCGTTTTGAGATGCGCCCCGTTCAGGTCATGATTAAGCTGGCTTCGAATGCCACGTGGCCACTCAATCACCTTGGCCACGTCAACGCCATGCCACTTCCGCGGCCACATCAGCACCATGCCACTTCTGTGGCCCCACCTTATTACCTCAATTACGACGACTCTACGTCATGAAGATAAGCATGACCAAAGACAGAAGAGCGGATGGGGACAACTCTGTCGGGGATTAGGTCTTATCCCGAAGACCTTGGCAGCTAACCTCATCCCGACAATCCCAGAAGCTTAATCCGATCAAGACGCATATCTTCGGCTATAAAAAATTACCTCCCACTCAAGGTAAAGGATTCATCCCTTGACTCCCATACCGTTACTCTGTTCGGACCAGTGATGAGAGTAGAATTTATCATATTTTTATCCCCAAATATTCTGTCTTTCATACTGAATTAGTACTTAATTGGACTCATATTTGTTGTATTTCGGTTCAGGGCATGAAAGAAGGCATCAGAAGCAAAGAAAGGCAAATCGGATGATTTTTCACAGTTTCAGCATCGTTCAGTAATTTGGGCCTAACTCGCGTACCTGAACTCCAATTGGGCTGATTCAAGACCCACTGGAAAGATAAGAGAAAAAGTCACAACTTTCGTGTTTTGGGCTTTCGCAGATTCGGCCTGCATCAAAGTCAAATCCGGGCCCGAAGTCAGGAAAAATTCGTAGGAAGGCCCAATCCGCAGTTGAAGCCCAACTTGCAGAAAAGCCTAGCAGCAACCCAGTTCACAGAGGATGTCTAATACGAATCCAAGAACAAGAAACAGAGAAAAGTCCTTCCAGATCTAAATTCTTGATGTAATCTTAGAAAGATAAAGGGATTGAGTTCACTAGATAAAGAGATAAAAGTATGATTAGACTAGGACTTTCTATTCTTGTAAGATAAACTTCAAGAGGAAGTAGGAGACCACCCCCTCCCCTTTAAGTTATATAAAGGAGGGGGCGAACCAGCTTTAGGCATCACTCAATCTCTGGATTGAATCAAGAAGCAAATGAGCAATCAATCAAGAAAGGAGAAAACAAATCAAGAAACTTGGGGAAGGTGATCAAGAATTCAAGAAACCTCAAAAAGAAGGTGGCGGCAAGAAGAGGA